TCTGCAACTGTTTCCTTAAAAAAAAAAAAAAAAAATTAAACCATTTAATGCCCTACTTTCAGAGCTGGAGGTGTCACTCACTGTATCACCAGACAGCAGGGGAAGAACATCTTTCTGCTGACCTCCCATGCCAGTATGAACTTGGAGGTATGGGCTGGGGCTATGGGGACGGAGGAGATCCCAGGTCCTGGGCATGACCTAAAACTGTACTTTGTCAGAGTCAGGAGGCCTGGTGGGACTGCCGGTGGTGCAGCAGCCCCAAGGAAATGCCAGGACTGCAAACCTCCCTGGTGAAAAGTAGGTAGGAGGCTCCTTATCACCTCCAGTCACCCCACGCATGCACAGTCCTGGCTAGGGAAATCCTAAACCTGTAAGATCTTTGAGAGGCCTGAGGCTTGCTGGTTGCAGTGGAGTCGTGAGGCTCCAGGTGAATGTTACTGCCTGGGATGCCATCTACCTGGCATGGGCCGCAGTGTCAGGGGAGGTATGGAGCTGTGGCATGGATGTCACCCCTAGACATCAGGGACCTAAATGGGGAGATCCTCACTGCTCCCTGCTGCCCTGTGTTGTGTGTGGGGGCTCTTCTATAAACTCCCAGGGGCCCCGATCCCCACTGCTGCAGCTGGGGAGTGTGGGGCTTTTTCTTTTTTTTTTTTTTTTAAAGTACCAGGAGGCTGGGGCCGGATGGGGGATGAGGCTGGGCAGGCCAGCCATAGGGGCTTTTCCCGTGGCTCCCCTCCCCCAGAGAGAGGCAGGCACAGCCAGAGGAGCTGCAGAAAAACCTAGTAGTACTTTGCCAACACTGTATTCTTATATAATTGTAGTGGCAAACACTTTTAGCATAAACAACGGTAAAAAGAAATACACTTACTGGAGTTTAGCAGCAAACAATACAGGCAAGCTTCAGCTACCAGGCTGCCATATTTTTCCTCATAGACAAATCCTTTTGCTTCACCTACTTAGTGATATTACAAATAGAAATTCCTTCGGTTACAAAAAGCATAAGCGAGGACCATCAGAAAAATGTATATTTGGGCAAAACATGCATTGTACTACTCCAGAAATCTAGTTCCTCTCCCGTTTAGGGCAATTAAGAGATTCATTGATTTCAAAACAAGTTGGATCAGTCCCCAGCAATACAAATCAGCTGTAAACTATGGTTCTCTTAGAAAAGCAAGGATGAAGTGAAATACATTTGACACAGTTCCCTTGCATTCCCTTAAAAAGAACAATGCATTTTATTTCTCTCTAAATAAACCTTGGTTGCAAATTACTGATTCTGAGAGACAACAAGAGAACTAATTACAGATCTTTATGGCCTCAGCATAGCAGGAAACAAACAACTTCTTTGAAGCAAGGATTAAAATGACTTAATTAAATGTAATCATCCAAACTTTGCTTTAGACCACTCCTTGAGACATTCACAACACGAAAAGGGCTTTGAATTTCAGAAAAAAACTACTTTATATAAGCCGTCACTAGGTTTTGGCTGACACCCAGCTTAACTGCAAAATAGCAATAACATGTCACATTCATATCCCTGAGAGATCAGATTTTACCTAGCTATTTTCACTTTTTTGATGCATTCTTTTTCCTTCTTCCTCTCACTCTTTTTGGGAGTGCTCTCTTTGATGTCTGTTCTTTGAAGCAGAAACAAAGTGAAGAGACTTATTTTCTTTTCTTGCATGCATCTCAAGAACTCCTGGGAAAACATAAGTTCTCTTAGTAGCAATGTGGGCTTCCTTTTAGACTTGCTGTTCTTTGATGCAGAGTAGGTTTCTGAATCAGTCTGCTGTGGAGGCAGCTGTCCGATGCCATAGTTTGTTGAATAATTTCCAGTCTTTTGGTGATGCCTTTAAACCGCTCAGCAATGGCAAAGCTCGGGATCATACAAGAATACTAAAAGCAGAGAAACCCTGCTTTTAAATTGTTCCCTCCTCTTTCTTTCCTTTATAAGTTTATTCCTTTTTTTGTGCATATTTTAAAAATCTCTGATTGTTGTATCTCTTGGGCAGGTTCTTTATATTGTTTGTTTGTGCAGTTTCTAGAACCAGAGATATAACAATATGTCTAGGTGCCCAGGGTAGCTGCTAAATATAGGGGCAGCAGTGACTTCTGATTATTGCCATCATGGTTGGTGTGATTTTGTAGCTGTGGTGGCAGCCCTTTTTTCTACCCCTCTGCCCTGAAGTTGGCACCTGGGGTGAAAGCCCCTGTCACCTCACCCTAGTTGTGCCACTACCTGGAACAGAGGATGCTAATTTCTACTTAGGGTGATACAGAGATCCTGTTTTTTTTCTGTTTAAAATCCACACATTCTCTGATTAAAAAACCTGTAAATCCACATTTTTCCACAGTTAAAATGAAATACCACTATAGATAAAGGTATCAGTTGAACACAATGTTTATGGATATATTTACAATTGTAAAGCAATATGGAAGCCTACCATTGCCTCAATTACTATAATAAAGTAAATTCTAAATACCTATAAATTTTGGCATTTGTTGTTGTTTTTTTCATGGAAAATCAGAGCTCTACCTGTCCCCTTTTTTCACCAGGAAGCAGGTCCAGTTGCGGCTGTCTCCCTCCACTGCTTTGTGGCGCTGAGCAGCCCTGACATGTTGGTGCCTTGCCCATGCCATTGCCCTTCACTCATAAGCCACAGCCCCCCAGACCCACTGGTACCCCTCACTCTTGACCCATGCCCCCTGGCCCTGCTGGTGCCCCTCACTCCTCACCCACAGCCCCCTGGTCCTGCCAGTGCCCCTCACTCCCCACTCATAGCCCCCTGGGCCTTGCTGGTGCTCCTCACTCCTACTCACAAGCTCCCAGACCTTCCGGTTCCCTTCACTCCCCACCCTATGGTCTCTGCCCCACCAATCCTGCTGGAGAGGGTCCCCAGCTGCCAGGGCTATAGGGCTAGGGACCCAGGTCTGCAGCTTCCTTCCCTCCCAGCAGCACCCATGGGAGGTGGCAACTGCTGGAGCAGTGGAACAGTGGAGTGGAGTGCAGAGCCCAGCTCCTCCTCCCCTACAGGCAGCACAGTTGGAGCAGAGCTCACAGGGTGGGGGCAGATGCAGGCTGCCTGCTGTGGCCTCGGGGCTCCCTTCCCTACTGCCCTCCTCCCAGGGCCTCCACAGCCCAGAGGGTAGTACCCAGCATGGTAGGGTACAGCAGGGCAGGGAGGCTTGGTGCTGCTGCTGGGAGCCCCATGCTGCCATGGCAAAGTGCCACCTAGCAGTAGCAATTGTGGCACAGAGTTGTGTCCCCTGCTGTTGCTGGGCAGATGGGGGTTTCATCATGGTGGTGCAGGGCTCCTGGCAGTAACACTGAGCATCCCCATCCCTGTCTGCTCTACTGTGCTGGGTCCCACCTGTTGGGCCACAGAGGCCTCATGGGGGAGGGCAGCAGGGTGGGAAGCCCCACACCTACAGTGAGCAGCCTGCATCTATCCTTGTCCCCCATGCAAATTTTAGGGGCATGTGCTCCCCATGTTCCCCTTGGGAGTGCCCACAGCAGTGGGGAGCTGCACCCCCTACTACCACCTGGATGAGCCATCTGCAGCTCCATCCCACTTCTCATCTGGGCTCTGTTGCCATGCATTCTGGCCCTGGGCCCCAAGCTCCACACACCACCCTGGCTGAGCAACAGCCCCAGCCCTGTCCAACTCCCTCACTCCCTCACTACTGGGGCCTCAATCCCCACCAACTTACTTGCAGGAACTGCGGGAGCTGCTCTCATGCTGTCTGGCTGTCATGTGCATGTGTACTTGTGCTCATTGCCCTCCTTCCATTCTCCCCAGCCCCTTGAAGGCTGAAACTCTGGCAGCCTCCTGTATTTCCTGACATTTCCTGTATTTTTCTCCTTACAGTGAGAAAATCCAAAATTTACTTAATTTTTCCATGGTGAAGAGAAACCCCAGATCCCTGGTGATAAAGGCATGATTGCAACAAATTAGCAACAATTTTTCGTGTCAGACAGATTTGTTTCCTTCTAAGCACTCATTAATAAGTGCATTCCCTTCTGATAAGTTCTGCTTAACTGCCATAGCATTCCTGTTGCTCAAGGTGTTTTATACGGTAAGTTTTGCTTTCTGTATCTTCCTAAGGTAGATATAGCTCACATCCAGTAATGTCTCATGGTCTTTAGCATATTTATTCTAATAATGCCTTTGTGCAAGACAGAGAAGGGTAAAATGATTTTCCTCATTTTACAGATGGGGAACCGAGGCAATAGAGAGCAATGAATAGTTCCACAATAGGCCTTAGGTACCTAAATGCCAACTAACTTCCATCTTGAGTACCAGATCTTAGATTTATCACCCTCAAAACTCCTTCCAGCTAACCATGGAGAAACCTAAAGTTCTTGGCCACTTATGTTTTCAGCATCAAAGTTCCCTTTATTCTTCAAGCATTGCTTTTGGACACGTCCATGGTCATCTTAGTCCTGATAATGCTATCTCAGTCCTAAGCTTATCAGAGAAAACATTCCTCCACATAAGTCACCTGCGGTTCTCAATTTATTAGGTATGCTTGTAGTAATCATAACAGGCTGCACACCAAACATGGCTAGAAGTGTGTCATGCTCCACCCTTCCATTATCATATAGCTTAGTTGTACAACACTCACCCAGAGTGTGAGAAATCTGATTTTCAGATCCTTTGCTTATAGGTATTTCTAGATACTTGGCCCTACTAGGTCTATGTGTCTGCCTGCCCAGTACCTTCTCTGACCTGCTTGAGTGTCTTGTGATCACTTGCCTGTTATCCACGGTGGTGAGTTCTGACTCTCTTCTGCCACGTCTTGATGTTCCTTTGAAGGAAATAATCAGGAGGTGTTTGCTTTCACCACAGTTGACCAATGGCAAATACACTGTACTTTATTCTGGGGCTCCAACCTCCCCTACACCCCATCCTAGTGCCACCCAGATGTTATGTACTATCATGTACACTTCTAGGTCTTCCCAGGTGATTTTCTTTAATTCTTCTTTTATCTTCTAGGTTCGTGACTTTTGTTACTGCCTACCTTGACAGAGCAGGACAGCATGAACTACCGGGCTTTCAGCCACAGGTAAGTCTTGCATGAGTTTGGGTAACTCAGTGTCCTCTCTCCCTCACAGAGGGTTTGCACACCCCTTGTGGGGAAAATCACTTGTCCAAAAAAAAAAAAAAAATGCAAACAAAAACCCTCCCTTCTCAGGACCTTGTCCCTTGTCCAGCAGGGTTAATTGACCAACTCAGTCTTTATACCTGTTTATTCTTCAGGAAGGGTCTCTGGCTCTCAGAACCAGTCCCTCTTTTTGCCAACTTGGGCTGCATAAAACAGCAGAAAGAAAGAAAGAAACCCCCCCCCCACAATTTAAAGCGTTGACTTACTCAAAGGGGCTTGGCCACTTGTCTCTAGTTGGCTCATCTCTGGAAGAGTTCCCTGCCCTCTCTTGCCACGTTCTCACAGCCAGGTCTCCCTGTTAAACAGAGCTCTTGGAGCTCTATAGCCACCTCCCAGTCAGCTCTTCAGGGATGGGAGAGCCCCACTAGCCAGCCCTGGTTCTGGGATGCTGCTCCTCACTCCCCAGCTCCTCTTCTGGCTTGTTTGTATTTTTTTTTTCCCTCCGGGTCCTCTTTAGCTGAATGGAGCAGCTACTGCAAAACCATGGCTCCTGGGCACTCTCTGCTCACTTTTTTCTGATATCTCACTGCCATTTATGAGTTCCCTGGTAGTTTCCTTCTTAGTATTAGATCACAAAATTGTGCACTGTCATGTATACACTTTCCAGACTTGTTGATCAGGGAGATATGAAAGATTTACCTGCTTTTGAAACACAGTAGCATCTAAACCAACTGCACTAATTGATACCCACTCTGCATAGTTATGAGATCAGTTTTTTACTCAGATAACTGCCATATCAGCATGCTCCTGTGATGATACAACCTGTTGCATCTTTAACCCTGTTTAATTTGGGGTTAAATTTACAGTGGTTTAGCTCATTCATACCACTACAGGAGTATGCAGAGGTAACAGTTATGGAATAATAACTGATTAATTCTCCTGAGTAACAGCTCCCTTCCTCTCTAGAAACACACAAACATTTGGCAATATCATAGCCCGTGCTTTAATCTCAAAGGATTTGTTAACACATGGAGGAATTTAGAAAGGTGTTTTTTTAAGCTGTTACATATAACAAGAGATTTCCTAATCAAAAAGGAACATGAGCTCTTCATGGAGCTTTAAGGAAGGAATCTATACTGCAAAAACAATGTGCAGTTGACTGGAGTGCAGTTGTTCACTGTACCTCACCCATTCATCCTTATCATGCAATTTAACTTCAGAATTCATGCCTAGGCTTCTATAACATCTGCATAAGTCTTGTTATGTGAATGTAATGTGAATGTGACCTGTATGGGGCGGGGGAGCTTGCAGAGCTGTGCTGACTGTAATTTGAACTACAACTGCCAGAAGCCCTGAGGGGGTCGGTGGGGAACAAAGGAAAAAGGAAGAGGAAACAGAAGTCAGCTGGAAGAGAAAGAGGGAGAGGCATGCAGGGGAATGTGCGGCCACCCAGGCACCAGGAGTTCACAATGGGGCTGGAGATCTTGCTTGATTTCTTGTATAAAAGTGGGAACTTCACCTTGTTTCTCTTTGTACTTGGTGCATTGCTCTCAAAGGCATTGGCCTCTGAATCATGACCAGCATTATTGGCACGTAGCTCATTTTGGTGTTCATATATTAGTACCACCCCGCATGCTTCTCTATTTAAAAACCTATTCTGTTTAGGTTGGCTTAGGCAAAGCACATTTGGATTCAGTAAATTACTGTACTACATTGTGGCTTGAGGCCATCACTGCATGCATTTAGGATTTGGTCTCATTCCAGATGCACCTTAAACTGATTTCTAAAAGAAGGCTGTGCTTCTGCAAAATTCCTCTTATTTCTAATTTCTCTATTTCCTACCACTGAATAAAGTGTCCCTCTTGATGATTTGTCCATTACTTCTTGCGTATTTCTGACAATGAATGTTGCCCCTTGCAGAGCTCATACATGCCTTGAGAATGGTTCTGTCAGATATCTGTGCTGAATCACCCCAACAAGTTTTGTGGATAGTTTGACTCATACAATTGTATCCTGGGACAGAAAAAATACGATTTTTCTTTAAAGAATCTGGACATAAAGGCGTGCTGTAAAACTAATGATTTAAAGCCAATCAGGGAGACAGAGAGGAAGGGAAGACAACTGATTGAATGACTATATTAGGAAAAAAGTGGTTTGGACATATTTGGTTGGTAATACATTTAGAAATGTTTTAAAATTCAGAAGCATAAATAGGTTGGCTAATCTCTATAATGCATCTTTGAGTTTCTATTAAGCAGCAAAACAGCTTTTCAGGTATGTGGCAGTGAATGTGAATTTTCAGCATTGGGTCTTGCAGATTCTGTTTTCATATGTCTATCATCTGACTCCTGAAATGTAGATGACTCGCTGAATGCACTGAGTGAATAGAAATACTTATTTCAGTTTCCTGTACATCAAATGAACTATTCCTGTAAATGGTGGCCAACTTACAAGAGGGTGCAGAATTTTCAAATGTAGCAGTAAACTAACCAAGTTGGGACTGTATATTCTATACTAGCAGGAATTCTCATCATTACATGAAAAGGCATGTAATTTATAATGTCACATTATTATTGATATTTATGCTTATTACTCGGTGGCTGTGTCTACATCCATGGTTTCCAAACTCTGACAGATTATGCACGACCAGTTTAAAAAGATACAACCTTAAGTACTACCTGCACATTTTTCAGTTGAACCTTAAGTACCACCAGCAAATTTTTGTCATATACATTAATTATAATACATCTATTAAGACATACCACTGACAGGTTGTATGCATACCACTGGTGGTATCCGTGCCACAGATTGTGAACCACTGGTTTACATGACACGTTTACTGCATAGTAGCTTGTTACTACTGTGTAGTAGCTCATTAGTATTGTACAGTAGTGTTGCAGGCCACGGACCATGATGTAACACTACTGTACAGTAACAAGCTACTGCACAGTCAGCATCACCAGGAAGCCATGAGGGAATGCACAGTATGAGCAGTAATACTGGTTGATACGCAGTAATACTGGTTAATGCTCAGTCATTTAGTACTTGGGTATGTAGGTACAAAATGGCTGTGCAATAACAACTGTGCATTCAATGTCTCATGTAGATGCAGCCAGTGAGTTTGGCAAGAGTGAGATTGTACTTTGCTTTATCAAAGGCCAAATTATAATAACGTTGCAGTAATAATATTGTTACAAAGCAAGTTACCATAACTGACCTAGGTTAGCAGTGCTTTAAGTTGAACTGCTATATATCTTATTTTGTACTTATTGGCTAGAACCACTTAGAAAATGAACTGGTTAAGTTCTCTGGTGCAATAAAATTAATAAAGGAGAACCAGGATTCTTCACAGGGGTGTGTTCCTTAGCCCCCGTGAAGGTAAGGATTGGCCAGCTAACCTGGGGATATATATGGGCACTTGTACATGTGATGAAAATTGCCCATTTCTGTGGTTTAATTGTGTCACTCTGTACATGTATGGGGGTGGGTTTTTTGCGATTTAAATGAGTTTATTACATTGCAAACTAAACCACATTCGCATGTAGTTTAGTTTGCAATGCATCTATTTGTAACATTGTAGCCTTTTGACAGCTCCTCCCCCCCATCCCCACCATGGGAGAGGCAGGCTGAAGGCAGAAGTGGTGAGGGGCCAAATCCTTTTCTTTTATGTGGATTGTGCTTGCATCTCCCGCAGCCAGGAGGTGAGCTGCTGGGGCCGGGGGGGGGGGGGGGGGGGGCTGAGTGGCCCCTGAGCTGTGGGGAGCTCTGCAGTGGTGGCACCCCCTGGGGCCACCCAAGCTAGTGGCTAGTGGGCAGGTGCTGCCCCAGCTTGAGCTTGGAGAACAGTTGGATTAGGTTGGGTGCTGCCTTCAAGCTGGGGCAGCACCTGCCCACTAGCCACCCATCTGGGTGGCCCTGGGGGGCACAACCACCGTGGAGGGAAGGAGTGGGCCCCCACAGCTCAAAGCCCACTGGTAGCTCATCCCCCAGCCATAGGAGAGGTGGTGGCTCTGGAGCCATCTGGGTGGGATGCTAGTAGGCTGGGGGTTGCCCCAGCTTGGAGGCAGCACCCCGCTAGATCCAACTCTGTTCCAAGTCTGTCTGCTGCAAGTTCTCTGAGCACTGCTTTCCAGGTGGACTTGGGGAAGAGTTGGATTCAATGGGGCTCTGCCTCTGAACTGGGGCAGCCCCTGGCCTGCTAGCACCCCACCTGGCTGGCTCTGGGGGGTGCTGCTGCCACAGACGGAAGGACTGGGGGCCCCCAATAGGTCAGGCTCAGCTTGGCCCACCACCAGCTTGTGCAGGCAGGCCCAACTGGGGAAAAGAAAAAGCAGCGAGAATCCCAATCCTTTTTTTCTTTCTTTTTCTTTTCAGAGCCTGCCCACCTCTTCTGCAGCCAGGGTGATGGTGGTGTGGGGGGAGGTGAGCTGCCAGTGGGCCCCGGTCCTTCCCTCTGTGGTGGCAGCTGGGTGGCCCTGGGGTGGGCTGCCACCACGGAGTGAAGGACCAGGGCCCCCCGCAGCTCATGTAAGCAGGCTCTGCTGGGGAAAAAAAAACAAACCACGAGCGGCCTGAAAAAAAAAGGAACATGCCCCTTGCCATAACAGTGGTGGAAGCCCATAAATTGAAATGGTGGGTTTTTAATAATCACAATTAAAACCCACCATTTCCATTTAGGGGACTAAACCCTCATCACATGTACAAGCACCCTATAGCTACAAGAAACAGCTGTGTGGGATGATACAGGTTATCCATGTTTCCTCCCATTTTATGGCATTTATTTCAAAGGGTGATGCTTCTACAACGGAATTGGGCAAAATTCAGCCTTCAGGCCAGATTTGGCCTGCCAACTGATGGTATTCAGTCTGTGGATGAGTGGCTGCCAAATAATGAGATCTAGTCTGCAGGTGGCCAGTGGTTCCAGTTGCCACATGGTGCTGAGCAGGTGGGACTGTTTCTGC